CATCTGGACTACACATTCGGCCATCATTAAACCTCCACCTTACTCATGAATTGCATAGTTGGGTGTGTTGTGGACGGTGACACTCACTACAGGATCCTCCAGCAGTTTTAAGTTTAACAAATTTATTGACAAAGCTTGGAGTACAGTTTTGCCTATTGCAGACACACCCCATTTGATGACTGTCTTGAGTTATACAGGATAAAGTCAGCGTTGCCCGAGCACCTTCACTCCTGCACTCTGACCCATCCACTCCGAGCCTGCTCACTTAAATCCTGTATATTTATTTTACCTGAAAAAAAAAACATTCCACTAACAGTCTTTTTTCGGATACTGTTTTATATTCTCAATCATACTATAATGCTACTTTAGGTAGAATTGTATTTGCTACTTGAAGATTTTTTTTTTACACTGGTACGATAGACAGCTCAGGGCGAAGCACTGTGACTGCCTGCGGATGTGTTGTAACCTGGAAACGTCACCGCTTCGCCTTAAACAGTATACGCCAGGGCCCAGGAAGCGACCCAATCTTCTGTGACAGGTTTATAAGTAGGTGTAACATGATATATATATATATATATATATATATATATTTATATATACCCGGCCACCAGGAGACTCTGACAGTACTCGATAACTCTGAGACACCAACTACCCTCCGTATATTGAAAACGAAATGAATAAATAAATATGAATGAATTGTGGTGGCTGGTGACTCCCGGCACTAAGATGGCCTTGAGTTTGTTTCAGGTTTGTTGAGGAGTCGGGGGCCGCCGGGAGGCCGAGTTTCCAGTTGCCAATTTGTGAGGTGACTAGAACAGTGAGGGTGCTTGCTGAGGAGCCCCGACGCCGCCACTGCTAGGTCAAGACCTCACGCACCAGGTACAATGTCGTAGAAAAGTGGGTCCCATGGGCGGATTAGGTGCGGGGTGTGTGTGATGTGAGGATGGATATGTTACGCAACAACTCCCAACGTGCCCACCCAGTCCAGACAGACAGCGTATCGAGGTGGCAGCTACAGTGCCCGGCCGCCGTCACCTCCACTGTCCCGTACCACAACACCTCGCTCCCTCCCGCCACTTCGTGTACACCTCTTTGCTTGTACATTATCTTCTGTTACATTTCACCAGGTGTTTATAGCGTTACATTTCACCAGGTGTTTATAGCGCCACACACCAATAACGACACAATCATTTTGATAAAGATGTTAATTAAACATGCACTAGTGAATTGTGTAGCAAAAGTACCATTACTATTTACTTGACGTTAGCCTCGTGCTTCCCAGGAATTTGATCATCTCTTGAGTACCAAGTGTTGGAGGGAGGGGAAGCGGGTGGGTAGGAGTGGTACACCCCCCCCCTCCTCTACACATCTACTCAACATTCAGCCTTGTTCTTCCCCGGAAGTTCTTGAGTTTTGTCTTGTAGGAAATACAAAGGCGTCTTTATTTTTTAATAGCTCGTAGTGGGGATAAATCTGTTTACTGACATTGTTCACTTGGCCACGTTAGTGCGACATGTGGCACCACATCAACTGGTCACAACAAAGGTAGTGTTAACAGTGGAAGGTTCCTCCTCCTACCTGCACTGGTCATTGGCAGATCACAATGTCGCGCACTGTTACTGTCATGAATATATACAGTACACTAGTGTCCCTTGGCCAGCTTTATTTAGTACTCATTACTGTCACATTTGGTTGAAGGTCAGGACACAAGCTTGAATGCCTTCGTCCAAAATAAACATCAGTTCCTGGAGCGAAGTGCACCTGCAGTATATGTCGCTTTTCGCTCTATTATGTTGGTGCATGTCAAGTGTTACCTTTGAAAGTCTATTTTAATGTGCATACTAATCTTGCCCAACCAAATTGACCATTAGTGTTTTGTGTACTGTTGGTATGAGAAGACGAGATCTTTGTTACACTTATATTGTAGGCAAGTTTTGGGGATTGGTGTAATGTTTTTGAGAATTGTCTTGTGTGTAGGATTTAAACACCCTCATCCAGGGACTCACCCACACTACTGTGTGTTGTATAAGGAAGGAAACTGCCGCATGATACGACAAGGCATTTACTCCTTAAGGTCATCGTCCTCCTTACCTTGATATTTGGCAACCTTTAAACAGTTAATTTGTGGCGGTTCATGCGAGTTAAATGTCGACCTTGATGCCAGTAGATTGCAGGTGACATCCGAGAGTGTTTACGGAAGTGTGTATAATACAGAGACGATGGTGTTGATGACGGACGAGGCGTGGGGGGACAGTGAGGAGTCTCTCGTTTTGTTCTCACTGCACCCATCTCCGCCAAGGACACCCGGTGGTTCGGGGTGGCGAGCGCACGTCAACAGGGAGCTGAGGCCTGGCTGATGTAGGCTGCTTCTGCTGCTGCTCCACCTTTATGCTGACTCGTGGTTCTGCTTGGATGACCAGGCTAACTCGGTCACGGTAGAGAGTTTTGTGAAAACTGCTGGTGTGAGGCGGGGTGATTAAAGGATTCATTATTGTGACGTATAATGGTTAATATCAAGCAATATCTGTCATGGGAAACGGGCAGTGTTAACTAGTGCTTCGGACTTGAGGGGTTCAGCATCGTATTATTTATAAGGACTAGGCCAGCTGGTGATGCTACTTGAAGTTTCTTTAATTATACTCTTTGATGATTAGTTTTTATATTTCTCGGGTATAGTAAAAAATCATTCCAGATCATGGAATTATATACTAGATTGAACTTGTTATATAAATTACGTATGAAATTAAGACTCAAGAAAACTGCAGCGCTTGGCCCAAACTGGACACTGTTTTCACCCGGGCCATATCGATAACTCGCATACCTTCCTATGTTGAAATAGTTTAGTAACAATAATCGCAATAATTATTTTAGAGCACTACATCAGTACACCCGTCTGTGGCACAAATATGAAAACTACGATAGTTACTGGAGAACCCAGATGTATCGATTTATCTTTTGTCGCAGTAGTTGTGACTTGAGGGATACTAGAAATCCTTTGATATTCACTCGACACTACCAAACACGAGTGAGATTTTAATGACTCATTAGAATCTAATGACTCGTTAGTAATGAGTTATTAATGGTTAGAAAGACAGTTCGGGGAGTCGTTCGGACAGTTTAGATCTTCTGGTGTGTAGGCTAAAGGATCTATTGCTCGTGAGTGAAAGCTAGATCCACAAACATTTCGAACTTAGCACCAGAGAGAATTAAGTGTGCACAAGGTGTATTAGAGTTGGTAATGAGAGATGTTGGTAACAGGATAATTCTGTATCTCCACAACAGCGCACGGGAAGAGAGAGATATAATGTCGGAATAAACGACATAAGCAATAGTATGGGTCACGGTATGAGAGATACTGTAGTGATGAGGATGGTGGTGGTGAACATATCAGCTTGAAAGACGTGAGACTTATTAAAGCAAGATATGCTATTAACAGTGAAGTCTGTAACACCAGTGATAGTATGTGAGGTATACTGATACTGTGACAGTGAGCGAAGACAATGTTGCTGCCCAAGTGAGTGAGATCGATACTAACATCATCCGGGATTCTGGACCAAGAGACCAAATTGGTAAAATTCAGCTCTGCATATGTTGTTCTTTAAAGTGGAAATATTTGGGGATCACTTAAGATTAGTCCACCTCATGTCGTTAGGATGTTTAATCAAGTGAAATACGCCTGAGTGTCTAAACGTCACGTGGATCCGTTATTTTACTGTTAATTGTTATGGGTAATATTAATAAGGCGCCAGTTATATTTATATAGGAGTGAGACTGATGTGAGGAGATTTTGTGCGCTGGAGGACTCCGCGTGGAAAGCTATTTTAGGGTGGTGGGGACCCAGGCGTGCGTGTGGCAAGTCCTACATCCTGACAACGTGGTAGCGTCCCTACTCCGGCTCAGCTCTCAGGAACAAGGCTCTCCACATACCACGGAGAATGCGACACCAAGCTTAACGTTTAATTATTGCTGTCGATTAAGTATTGCGTCCACTCGTAGTGCCATTAGAACAGGGCCACCATTCGTTTTACGCGAAATTGTAGAAGCTATCTTGTCGTGTAGCCATTGGTTTCTAATATCCGTTTAGCAACTGATGTTAAGGTCCTGACTGTCCACGATCAAACTCGACATGAAGATTAGATTAGGGTGAAGGGTGTGGACCGCCTGGCTGCATCAGGGAGGGTTATTAGGTTTCAGTGGTAGTGAGGCAAGGTCATGGTAGTGGTTTACTGAAGTAACACTGACCTAGTGGCCAGGTGCGTTGACTGACAGCTGACAGACTTGATTGAGCAGGCGAAACATGAGTTAGGCCACTATAAGGTCATGGCTACTTGTTGACAGGTGCACAGTGAGTTTTTAGGATATACCTTTCCATCACTCCAGTGGCCATTTATATCCACATTGTGACATTAATAGTCGTTACCACCATTATCTTGAGCTATAAGGTGAACAATCTCTTAAGATACCGTAGTGATAATTCCCTAAGCAACAAAAAACAATGCAATCTAAACATCTTCAAGGGAAACAGTACTTTTGGGGCTGGGTACGGCTCGAGGGGCCCCCACCCATTTTGTCTCGTGGAATCCCGTGGATTTAATCCCAAAGTCCAGGGACAACAGGTGGATAAAATTAATACAGGCACAATTACAGATGTGATAAATTGCATCATTACAGTAAACACGTATGCCAAGAAAAGGGTATATTTAGTTACACTTGGATAACTTCAATAACACACCATTAGTTGGTTCAACACGATGCGCGGGCTGGTCTGTCAAAACTCCCTCTCTCTACCCCCCATTACTTCTCCCCCAAACCCTCCCGCCAGCCTCAGAGTGGCGCCTACTGGTGTTCCCCCCCCCCCCCCTTCCCCAGAGCCGAGACTCAAGGTCTGGACCGGGACGGGCATCTAACGTCAGTCACGTGGTGGGTGCGCGTTGAGGTATACCGACCGCAGCTCTCCTCGGAGGAACCCTAGTAAACAGCTCCAACAATTCCAAGTTCAGTGTTTCAATTGTTTTCGCATAATAAACAACCACCAGGAGTTGGTGTTATAAAGAAAAATTTTCACTAATATCTGTGGGCGGTGTCGGAAGCAGGGAGAGGTCGTTGTGTTTGGCGCGCTGTTCAAGTGCACCACGTGGTTGCTCCTTGTGTCAAGAGTCGCTCCCTGCTCTAGTGATGATCATCACATTTCTTATCGAGTGCTACTGGTGGATGATGTAGAGTGAGAATTAAAGTATAGGAATATTGATAATTTGAAAAGTATTAGTGAAAGTTTTCTTGGTGTCAGTGACAGCGGGTCGTTTGACAGTTGAGGCTGGTGTCATCCCGCACCACCACGAGGAACTACACCACGTGTTCTCATAGTTTAACAAACCGAAATATCGTAAATGTTGTGAAACGGTCTGCTGTTGCAATATAAAACTGTATATTTTGTGGTTAACGGCAACGAGGGTTGAACAGTAAGCAGGTCCTTGTCACACCGCACTATGCATTACTTCTCTGACAACTCCTCGCAGGACGAGGACTTGTTCATATCAAAAACAGGTAAGCAGTGGTAACACTGGATGCATATAAATTAATTATATACTGGGTGAAAAATTCTTTATCCTACCCATTTAAAATTATACCCAGGCAGGCTCTGGTTCTTGAGTTCCACGTTTTAAACCATCACCTATTTTGAAATGATGGTGGCAGATCCAGGTGGGTACAATTGGTTCGGATGAGCAGTTCTCAGTAAAATCAATAATATTTTCGTTGGTAATCTCGCCCACCGCTGCCGTTTTAAGTTGATTCCATGCACCTAACAGATCCACCTTCTATTTTCTTAGGTCTTGAGTGAAAGTAACATAACCACACTTGGAACTTTCACGGGTATAATACGGTAAGCAGTTGAGTTTCAAATGTAGTTCCCATTGATAACTTTGTGTACCATTAACATAGTTAATACCAATACCTTAGTATGTTTAACAAGTTTCAAACTACAGTATTCGAAGTCACAGTAACCAATTTATGTGATTTTCCGAGTTGTGGCGATTTTTTAATATTTATACTTTATCATTATACCTTTCGTTTGAAAAATTGTCAAGTTTCCTGAAGTAACAGGATGTTCAGTGCCATAGATTTCATTTTTGATATTAAAACAATTAGTTTGACGATGAAGCTCCTGAAGTGCTAACATGACTTACTACCTTCAGCCTATTGTTTGACCTGCTCCAGTAGGAAGGGTTCACACTTGTGAGATTTTGAGTAGTAACCCGGTTCTTGGTTTTCTTAGGCAAGTATTTTATTCACTTTTTAGATTAATTACTTATTTCCTGATTTACGCTTAACTATCCATTAATAGTCAAAGACTAAGTTTTATTACGGTTGTCACTTAGCATAATCCCGCGTTTAGGTTTTTGTGAGGAAGGTGGGGGGCTAACCCAGACAAGTGTCAAAAGACCGGTTTTAGCGTCAGTAGAGCGAGGGGAGAGGAAAGAGGAGAGGCGGTGGTTGGTGTAGCTGCCATGTGATCCACCCCCCCCCTCTCCCACCTCAATTCTTCCCTGGCGGCTCAGGGATTGGGGAGGTCTGGTCTACCCTTACTGGTCATACTGTATTGAACCTAGTGACCGCCCACTATTACAGCATACACCCCACTGTGAAATGAATGCATACTCGGAGACCTATTCCAAACTTACCTGTGTATTCTTTATACAATATTTGTTTTTAGCTCGCTTGATACTGGTTGTTAACAAGAATTAACATCAAAACTAGTCCCAGGAAATATTTATCATGGTTCTATTTCTTGCCGTGAGCTGTAACTTATTGTTAATCTAGAGGAATCCAGTACTAATCCACGATCATTGGCGGCCTTGCAAATGTGCTTAATTCCCCCATTCGATATACAATGGCCTGGTACCATACCTTATAGAAATCGAACGTGAAAACTTGAGAATTTTTGTACCAATATATATTTTTAGCAAGACGTATGATATTATATAAGCACAATAATAAAGTCTGCGGTCCCTTCATTCCCCGAGCGATGAGCAACATTGCAGATACGTATTAGAATATGATGTATAACATATGTGTATTTATAACCACTCCATTAAGTGAATATCAATGTTTACCAGATTTGAAACTGCTGACAAAAGTGAATTTAAATCGTCCTGTTGTTGGGAGCTGCGGTGGTGTAATGCATACTTTGTGTTTGGAGGGCGCAAAAGACTTCTCATCGTTTTAAACACGTTTGAATCTGTACAATAAACGTGTCCCCATTAAATTTTCACAGTGGTTTTGATTTTTCTTATACGGGTCTCGTTGCCGGTGTGTGAATGTCAACAGTCGCATGAGACCCTGGGAGAAAGTGTGACGAACTACACCAGCGGGGCCCCGAGCTTTGTTAACTTATTATATTTAGAACATACATGTCTGTCTGTAAAAATGTATATATAAATTGCTTAAACAAAATATTAAATATCTTAACTTAATATAGCAACTCAAGGTATACCTGTATATACAGTAGTGTGTATGTGTAACTGATTTATAATATATTGGATGTTATAAATGGTAAACCTCATTCGAGTGGTGCAGGTCTGTAGCTGTGTTCAATAGAGGTACCATCAATGTGCCGCGTCTGTCAAGAGCTGATAGGCTATCTGGAGGCGCCTTATCGTACAAGACTTCTTGTTTACCGCTAGATAAATACTGAACGATGCTGATTATCTTCACCCACTCCATTTATTGATTAGGATGCAGTTGGACTTTTTAACTCGATTACTTTAGATTTTACCTTGCAATCTGTTTATGCACGTCAGTTAAGAGATTTGAATAAGAATGAAATTAAAACTGCGAGTCCCCGGAGAGGGGCAGAAACTAGGAGGATTGTTTAAGTTCGGAAATGACTTGAGTGGAGGGCCATGGTTGCTAACACTCAAGGCAAGAGGAGGATTCCACGTTTACTAGCTAGGTGCTTACTTTCCACCAGTTGTTTATTGGTGGACATGAACAGCGGAATTTATGGTAACTGTACTGTGCATGAAACTGTATAAAAGAGGATCCAGTTGGAAATTTTATTCATTCAACGTTCCACATGATGTTGATGGTTGCTGGTGATACAATTATTTCTTTTAATAAATTAGCGAATAAGATTCGTATTTACTAGATAAAATCAACTTTGGATAGTGTCGTACTGTACTTGTAGATCTGGATTTTTTAACAGCTTTGATGGCTTACGCAACATTAAAATTATTACGTTTAATGTACGCTTAAGGTCTTAACTCGATCTGTTCAGAATTCCTAACCACTTACCATGGTAGGTTAAGCATCAGGATGTATGGGCAATACGCAGTGCCTACAGTACACGGTTGGCGGGACTGCGCCATTTGAGCACCTGATGACATTGTTTCAAGTCCCGTTATCTTCAATAATTACACACGATTTTTTGTGTTCTTTGACCTGCTGGGGTATACAGTAGGTTAACTGCGAGCGGTTACTGTACTGTAGCGACTAAAATGGCAGACCAAATCGCTTGCGTCCGCATTCCCAATGTGAGACTCATTAACACTTTCAGGTCTTTTTCCAATTAATGAAGGAAAGATTGAAATACAGACTTTACACCAGGAACAAGCTAGTTTAGGAAAATTATTTAATTTAGTAAGTTTGGAGTCTTGTGTGAGGACGCCAACCGACTGTCAAGTGAGATTCACGAATCTAACAAATGGGTCTGCTGGTTGTTTACAGTAACTTCTCATAGCTAACCTGACCTTGCTGACGCAGTGATACAGATAAAAGTGTGGCATTATTATTTGCCATTTATGGACTCGGACTTGTTTGTTCAATTCTCTTAAAGTGCACTGGTAGCCTGAGACTCCGCTGGATGTCGGAGCTTGTCAGACGCAAACGTACTTCTGGCTTATACACATAAGATCGGTAATAGCTTTCATCTATTTTTCGTAAAGTGCAGTGGTCGTCTGACACAAGAGCTAGTGCATTGTTCACCCTCTCAGTGGCCGCTTTCAGGAGTGGCCCCACAGTGTTGATGCGGCAGATGAGGGCAGCTAGTTTTTGGCAAAGGTAGGCAAGAATGCTTGTGAGTAGATAAGGGTGGGGGGGTGGGTGACAAATGTTGGTAGGCAGTGAGATTGTGGGTTAGTATGAGATTTTGTGGGTAGGCAGTGAAAGAGACAGGTGTGGATAGCTAATAAGAATGTGCGACAGGTGCGGGTAGGCAGCTGAGTGGGAGGGCTGGGAAGTAAGGGGAGGTTGGCCAATGAGTGGGGGGCCTGTGGACCTGGCCACGCTAACAACACGTGACCACCTCTTCGCCTGTGGGTCCGACCGCGGGTCATAGACCATAGTTTCACCAGTTGTTAGTCGCCCTAATGATGCTTTGATCCTGAGCGGTGTGAATTATATATTGCATACAGACACACCGTCATGCACACATGAACCTATCGCCACTCCAGAATAAGTGTAAATATATACTGTATGGATGACGTAAGCGACATATTAGTATTCTTAGCTTCCATGGCGACTATCGGATCAACGAGACAAAAATTCATAAATGAACGAAGCCTCGAGCCATTCTGTATGCAGGAACTCTCGGCATAAATGCTAACCCTCACTGTATTGCAATAGTCTACGGACTGTGCACTCCATAGCTGCTGGTCATTCATCCGAAATTACTATTCCAACAGGTATATAAGCAAGTCGCTTGCGTGTGCCTTTAAACAAATTTTCTCCATTTTTCTTAGAGTATCATCTGGTGTAGGATTTCTTTCACGTTCAGTTTTGCAATACAGTATATATATATATATATATATATATATATATATATATATATATATATATATATATATATATATATATATATATATATATATATATATATATATATATATATATATATATATATATATATATATATATATATATATATATATATATATATATATATATATATATATATATAAACGATAAAATCACACGAGAAAAGGGAAACAACGGAGCACCTTAGCTTTCGTCTTCATTTTTTTTAAGGAATTAAAATCAATAAACCTGAGTGATGGTCAGTTCAAAACTGATATTATACTATATAAATTTATTTGTTAGTGGCCCATGGTTAAAAATGCTTTGAAAACCTTGGAGCTAGATGTAGGATAGTTATTTAGTGGGTCCCTTATTTTTGACCTGACTAGTCACGTCGCCCCCTTTCTCTTAAGCTCCTCTACGTGTGTGTAGGTGTGGGGATTAGTGGATGACATCATTATGACCTGACCTCATGTTTAATAAGGTCACCCTGTTTATTTAAGCCTCTCTCTGTCCATGTAATCCAGTTGCCTCTGAAGATGTATAAAGACGAAAGCTAAGGTGCTCCGTTGTTTCCCTTTTTTCCCATGTGTGTGTGCTGATTACCACAAGGAAAAAGAAAACACGAAGTTCCCAAGCGCTTTCGTGTAATTCACATCTTCAGGGGTGAGTACAGACTAAGGAGAAATACATAACAAGGCAAATATATATATATATATATATATATATATATATATATATATATATATATATATATATATATATATATATATATATATATATATATATATATATATATATATATATATATATATACAGTAGAGGAGAGTGAGATCAAGTCCACAATGGTCAGGTTATTAGGTAGTGACCCTACTAATCTTCAAAAAGCACCGCAGCACTCGGTAGTCAGAGGGTAAGATGACCCATCCTTCTCACCTGCTTATTCACCAGTCATGTTACAAAGGATTCACATCACATTGGTCCTGTGAGGTGTCTATTGCTTGTACTAGTGCATAGTGTCACGTGACAAAAGGTATTGGGATTACACTTAGTATTACTATAATAATTGTACATTATGTTGGTAATAATCAGTGGAACAGTAATGTACTGTACAGTATCTCAAAAAAGTATCTGCCAGGATGGGTCTGATGACTTCAAAAATACTACCTGCAACTCGTGATGCCTCGACAGGGTTGGCATGCATAGCTCTTTGGCATACTTATCCTATCACATTAGGTAACTGAACTTCATATTAATTACGCCGAAATAAATACACATTGTATTACTTATGGTAAACTATGTACCCTGTACTGCATCAAAGTAAATGCCTGTCCCAATATCCTTGTTCTCATAATGTTTCTCAGTGTTGACATACTTTTTTAAGATATTGTACAACATTAAAATTGTATGAGTTTAAGTTGTTATTGTAGATAAGTAATAATAAATTTAAGAATTTTTAGTACAATACTGTATACAGAGGAAAGAGCAAATCTGTACCTGTATTTTCTTTGTGCAGGTCGTGAGCGATCTTCATCCTCCAGCACTGATGAACCATCCTCGGGAGGTGATGACTCCTCTTACCTTCGGGCTGCGGCTGCAGCAGCCAGGAAACGACGGGGAAACCTTCCCAAAGAATCTGTCAAAATATTGAAGAAATGGCTGTATGACCATCGTTACAATGCCTATCCATCAGACGAAGAAAAGCTGCAACTATCAAGGGCTGCCAATCTCTCTGTTCTACAGGTAGCTAATGCATATACAGTACACTTATACAGTAGTATTGCATTTTTTGGTCTTATTGCATATTAGTATTGAATGAGCAATTTGGTTATATTGATGTCAGTGCTATAACAACTTGTTCGCCTGCCAACTTTAACACCTAGCTGTTTGATAAATGAGGCGTTGCCTAAAACAGGGGCATTATATCTTGCGCTTGTGAGACCTCACCTGGATTACGCAGTGCAGTTCTGGTCACCGTATTACAGAATGGATGTAGAATCTTTGGAAAGAATCCAGAGGAGAATGACAAGACTAATCCTGGGCATTAGGAACCTTGAGTACAGAGACAGGTTAAATCATCTTAATTTGCACTCCCTCGAGAGACGTAGGGCGAGGGGCGACATGATAGAGGTGTATAAATGGAAGTCAGGGCTAAACAAAGGGGACATTACGAAGGTACTCAAACTTTCCAACCAGGAGTGAACTCGTAACAATAGTTTTAAATTAAGACAAATTTAGATTTAGGCGTGAAATTGGTAAACACTGGTTTGGAAACAGAGTAGTGGATGAATGGAACAAGTTACCAAATATCATCATTAACTCGAATATGCTGGATAGCTTCAAACATAGGTTGGATGCTTATATGAGCAATAGGGGTTGGGTGTAAACGGGACTGCCCAGTTTGGGCCATTAGGCCCGCTGCAGTTTCCTCCATTCTTATGTTCTTATAAGTGCCTATCTGATACTTTGGGGAATTTGTAGCCCTGTGAGGACTAGGGGAAATTATTTTTCAAGCATAGCTCTCGGGCTTCAAGTAAGCTATGGGTGTAAGACATATAGCAATCGACTGAGAATAAAAAAAAAGGGAAAATATTTGGCGCTAGTTAACGCCTTAAATATTCACTGACTTGTATGTGGCTTGGGGCCAAACTAGCTAATCCTATAGCCTGACTATGTGTACTAGAGCTAAAATCTTGAACAGGTCTTGTGATTGACTTTGTCTTGATTCAGGTACTCATGAAATTAATGGATCCTTTTCATTATTTTCCTTTGTCAGGTGTGCAACTGGTTCATTAATGCACGGCGGAGAATCCTGCCTGAGATCATCCGCAGGGAGGGGAATGATCCAGAGAAGTATACCATAACTCGTCGTGCCAAGAAACTTAAGGGAGTCTCTCCTAGGGATCGTATAGACTCAGAAGAATACTCTCGTCCAGCCCAAAATGATTATGCACGTGCCCGTCCACGCTGGGAGTCCACCGATCTTCCTGACCATGATTACGATTTCTCTATGGAATCTCGAGTTGCTTCATGGGTTGCTGAACAGCAAAGGGTATCTGCCAAGCCCCATTATGAGGCAGTATGCCCTTGTGGATGTGGTTCTGAGGCTGATCACAGCTCTACTTTTACAACCAACTCCACAACACCTGCAGCTCCAACATCTGCACCTACAACTGCTCCAAACTTTGTGGCAGAGGTAACAGCAACAACAAATTCACCAATATATACAGACACCCATTCACCAGCTTACACTCCAAATGACTCCCCGTTGTATCCTCCGTCCACCCCAGAACACTACGTTCCACAAACAGAATATGCCCACCATGCCTATAACACACCAGCTCAGGTCACCCCGCCTCCCACACCCCCTGAAGACGATGCTGACAAGTTCAAATGTCTTTACATGCTGGTTGATGCTGCCCTCAGTCAGTGGGAGAAACAGAATGCATCACCACCACCCCAGGATGCCCTTGACACTACTCGTACCTACCTCAGCCTGTAACATTGTACAGTAGTTATCATTATGATGTTTTTCCCTGAAAAGTTGTTACCATCATACTAGAAAAATAATATGAGTGGTTGGAATAGTGCAGTATAGAGTAAATGATATTTGACATGTACAAGGATCAAATTCTTTTTTTTTTTTTTACTTTGAAATATACAACTCTTGCAAAATTGTAGTTGTCTGTGACATTGGTCCATCACATATAGTATTACCTCCTATAACGTTTAATATAAACAATATTCTTTTTTAAACTTCGACCAAAGTTTTACGAGAACAAATCCTTTTTTCATCTGTCGGTTTAGCAAAGTATGTGAACTGCTCACAATTTTTACATTTTATTGGTTCATATGTCTTGTTGGTTTTGGTTGTGACTTCTCATGCAATTTTAGTTACAAAAGACACGTTTCATTTGGCTTGTATTGAATGTTAGCGGATCACTGTAAGAGTGTAAGTAGGTTCACGAAGGTGTTCCTTTTGTTGCTGAGATCATTTTGAGTAAAATTGGATCCCTGTGAATTTTTTTGCTGGGATTTTATATAGATTTTCAGCTCTCAGTGAGTGATGTTGCACCTGCTTAACCCTGGCAGTGATTTGTAGTTCAAACATACTAACCAAATACATTTATGAGGTAGCTCGTGAATTCACGTCCTCTATAGTACAATGGATTGCCTTGCAATGATACAGAGTTTTTAGTTTTCTTCACCCATTATTTTTAGGTAACCCTTGTATTATCATGATTTATCAAGATTAGTGTAGTTTTTAGAACATTCCAAATTGGTGTTCGTCTTCCCTTATCTTGAAGCAGTGGCTGAGGACAGTTGTGAATTTCACTTGGTATGAAGGGTCTGCTGCACATACATTGCTTTTTCATGAGCCCTTCAATGTTTTTCATATTTGTCCATTGTCACTGCTTCCAGTTTGTCTCTGCCTTAAAGACATATCGCTCAAGTCCCCCAAGAAAACGTGTATACATGTGCCTTAGTTTTGTCCCATGCAGAGTCAGCTGATCTGCTTCATCACAAATGTTTTATATTTAAGGACATGTATAAGTACTTACTCTGTTATTATTGCCATAATAGCAAAATGTGAATGCTAAATCTTGCTAACCTCTCTTTTTTATAATTATTTTGTTCAGAATACATTGTATTAAATTTTTAGCTCATTATTATGTTTGTAGGTAGAAAGATGAGTTATATCATGAATAATGAAAATGATACTCTGTCCTTTACTGTCAATTGTAAAATTTTCATCGTTAATTATTATGATTTTAAATATTTTAGCCATATCCGGTTGTAGTCGAATGTATATGAAGTAGTTGATTGCATAAGATTTGAGTTTTTTTTAAGTGGTTCAATAGAAGTAGCTGCTGAGTTGGTGGTAGTATTTACCATTTCACAATTTTTACTTTTGTCATATAAAAGTTGCAGTGACTTGTATTTTTGTCATGCAGCTGTTTACTCACTTTGTTATTCTGGAGCTAATTGGCTTTAGATCGAGATGTTATATTTTGGATTTTTTCAAATTATATTTAAGTAACATACCAGAATATAATATCTTGCAAGAAATATAAATGTTTTATTATGTTGAGAACATTATACTTAATGTTCAAGCTGTGTAATGTTTGTGCATGTGATAGTGTGGGTGATTTTTCAAATACCTGGAATCCAAGATCTTTATTTTCCATGTTCAATCAAGATACCAATACTGTACAGTAGTTCAAATTCTGTTCCCTCTACTTGTATGTAATCAATTCATTACATTGTTATTGTTTAAAGCCAAGTCTGAAGTCACTGGGCCCTATTCATACCATTACTTTATGGTGCTACTATTAATTTTCCCTAATAGACTGGGTAGTTGAGGAGGGCCAAGTGTCTGAGACAGCAGGTCAGGAAAGTTTAGTTGATTAATTTGTTTCAACTTTCTTTTACAAATCCATTTGTTTATAGCTCCTGACCTCTTTGTACTGACTTGGGTGTCCAGGTGAGCAAAATCACTAGTAGATGAATTGCCAGTGTGAGTGTTTGATAGTGTTACATGGGTTTATTTTTAGTTTGGTCAAGACCCACCTATATCGGCAGGGGAGATACCCAGGGTACGTAATGTTCTCTTCTAACAGTTGATAAAATGATAACTTTAATTTCATTGACATTTCATTATTTTTATACAAAACAGCATGTTATTTGATTTTTTTTTTTAGATTGAATATATACTGTATATTGCATTCAGCACAACTTTTTGCAAAAATAAATTAATGAATACATCAAATCATTCATTCTTTTTAAAGTACTGTATAGACATGGCTACAGTACCAGTCCATTTTATGTAACTAGTGCCATTGGTGTCTGCATGTTATGTACATCAGTTGCCATCTTGAGTATTCCATGCAGGTAGTGATAATACCATTGTTAATAGTCCAATGAATATAAGAAGCATGTTCAGAGTATTACATGCATCAACCTGTCACTTTCCTCTCACCCTTTCATTAAGAGATGCTAAATTTATAGGGATGCATTTTATTGTACATTTTGCAATTATATCTTTTGTCAGAATGGCTAAATGCCTTTTAAAAATGATCTCATTTGATTCACTTGTAATTACTCAAGCACATTTAAAGTTGATCTCTGGTGAGGGAAGTGAGAGGAAGTAACAGGTTGTGGTGATACAATGAACGTAGTCCATTATTAGTGTGTCTACTGTACAGTCTGCAGAATTATTATATTAGAAAATAAAAATATCAATGCAATGATGTGTTCCAATTCTCCTATAATTAATTGCTTTTAAAAATGAAGGAGCTTCTTGTTTGAAAAATTCAATATGACTACAGTGCAGCTTTCCATGTTCTTATGAGTATATTTATCTCTGCCTGTCGTGCATCAGTGGTTCCCTTACCTCAAAGTTTGTTGCTGGCCATCTCCAAAAACAGTTGTAGATATGATTCAACACTTATTTTGTGATGAATCTTGTATGGAGAGCTGCTGTCAGGTAATTGCAGCTAACACGTGCAAGATGTCTGTAAAATTTAGATGGTGAGTGCTCTTGATTTTGGGAAGAGTTAGTTGGTGCAGGTATTGCAAGGAATACAAAATTGCATGACATTAAAATTTTAATGTGATACAAGAAAACTGAAGTTAAAGTTCATATGTAGGAAGGCTGCAGTTAGAAATAAAAGGTGGGTACTGAAGATTGGCTAAAGTTCATCGGAATAATTGCCTAAATAAATGTAACCAAAAATGGGTATGCGGGACAACACTCAGTGGTTGCTGAGGGAAAGTGATATAATTTCCGGAAACTAAGGTCTAACTTAAGGATATTCATCCCAAACTTTGCTATGCAATACATGCAAGTACAGTACACTGACTGCCCTTTTCTATTCTTTGTTGTTGGCCACTTATATTGCCTTGCAGACCTCAGTGTACAGTACAGGCATCCTAGAAAACAGTTTTTAATTAGTGGTTCAAGGCTACTTTGTTGTAAATGACTATACACTATGAATAATAAGGAAGCTAATTTACGTAATTAATAGCGTAAAAGGCAAGAACAGATTGGTTGAATAGTTAGGAGCCGGGTTGAATATTGGGGTCCTGTGTCGTCTACACAAATTGAAACTGGGAAAATGGAATCCCTTGGAAGAAAATTCAAATCCTATATGCTAAATAAATATTTAAGATTCTTCAGTTTACAGGGGGGGGGGTACTACCCCCCCCCCCCTTTTTCATCAGAAATTCCAATACTTTCTCAATGCAGTATTGTCAGGCACTTTTGTATAGTAAAGTAATTACTATTGACCTCAGAATATCTCCTAATATTAAGTGCACATGGCCTCAAAATGCGTTTACCCCCCCTCCCCCAAAGCTTGGTGGACTCGCTGTGCTCGCCACGTTCCCTCACCTACAACTTCTTGGACACCTCCCCCCTCCTGTTGATATTCCTGGTTCTGCCCCCCTGACTTTATAAGTTTGTATATTTTCCTTGTCCATGTGTTGTATTTCGACATGGGAGATAACTCCCCACACTGCGTTGTCATCGAAGTTTACTTTCACCTCAACGGGAACGTACTTGATGATTTCAACGTTTTGGAGTTGTTCAGACCGTTCCCAGTCATCGAAAGTCCATAAGGCCACCATTCTGCCGGCGGACAACCTTAGAAACCCCTTTATACGCAAAGTAAAAAGCCTCTTCAGGACGAGAAGGTTCAGTTTCTCAGGAGAGGAGGAAGCTTGAGGATAGAGCCTCACTACCTTCACCTACTCCTAAATCACTCCCACGTCTGCTCTGGTTGGGGCCTGGTCTCGGATGACGTAAAATTACACATGCCGCTTCAGAAAGTTGCTTTCTTTGGTACCAGATATCAAAGTAAGTTCTTTATGCTTAATATGCCAAGGGGTGGAGCCCTCTGGTTAGGAAGTTAGGTAAGGTTTGGTTGGTTAGGTTCTGTGCATTGTCGTATCGTTTTTATTCATTACTATCACCTAAACAAAATCTGCGGAAAAAAATCACGAAATAGAACTGCTTTTGGTATTAGCCATGTCCTCAACCATTACCCTCTTTTACGAAATGTCCCTAAGGACTTTAATTAACTTTTTGCATATTCAAGGGATCCCTTTACATCACAGATTTTCTACCATAGTTATATTTAACCTGTGATGTGTCATATATCCACCAGTAAAGAACAAAATCACAGCTATGTAGACTAAGTTCTTGGCGGGAGTCCACCACTCAGTCCTCGTTTACGTAAGAGACGCCCTTGGCTAACCCAAAATAAAACAAACGAAGCATCTCATTAACGGGGGTCGGATGGCAGTGTGCGGCCACTCTACCTGGCTTTGGCGAGACGTAAAACTGCTGGATGGGTCTACATATTGTACAGTACCTTCATTTTTACTCCATTCTTTTACGATAGAGATTAGTGAAATATATTCAGAGGGTTTGAAATTTGACAAATTAAATGCTTTTTATAATATATGAATGAAGCAAAAATAAATTCTTTACATTGGGAGGGGAGGGGGGGCATTTGGTGATACTCGGCCTGCAAAAATGACAAATTCCTCAGCACACCACGTGCGATTTATAAATTTACCCTGATATACATTATATTGTATATGTTACCTAACTGATGTTACTAAAGCAAAGCAACAGATGACGGCAAAGACAAATTTCACCAATTGAAGTATTTTTAACGAAGACCATTTAATTATGAGGTTTGGACTCGGGCCACTGAGATTACCCTGTGTCTTTATTACTGTAGTGTCAATAAGAAAACTAATTTTAGTTTTATAGAACATGTTTACTAATATCCTGGTTTAGTATGTATCAAAGTCACAGTAGCACACAAAATTAACTTCGGTAACTGGATGAATGAAGGAATACACCCCTACCTCACCTTATCTGACGGTCCGCCACTTTTTAGCTATGTTTACACACCCATTAGTCAGTGCACTCACTCCTGTCACTATATAGTAGGGTCACTACAACAGAGTGCGAACAGTGTAAAGTGACGTAAGAGAGCAGGGAAGGTACAGACGAAGACCTTTTACAGTAGTAGCATGACTCTTACTATGGCCGCTCGCAATCACCACACACAACTATGCTCTTAGTTTTTATTGTTATCTTGGGTAAAAGAATAAAGATCGAACGAAGATACAGAACACGATTGTGATGAGGTATTAATCAAATTGGTCATCAATATATGCATTATATCCAACGTTCAGTCTACCGGTATCTTAGCTCAATTACAGGTAGTGTAGCCTGGTTATCAAATTTGTTTATACTGAAGTTAATTCCTCGAAGTTAGGGCAGCTATTGTATCAAGGTTAATGTTAAGATTTTCGGGTTAATTTCCGTGTGCCTTACGGAATCATGTTAGTTTAGTTCCAGTGTAAATGTTAATATTTACACTGTCCACTATCTGCCGTACAACTATAAAGTGTTAATATAATAGCTGAATGTCCACAGAATAGACAAAATAGAAGGGAATGCTGCGGGGTGACTCAGGTAGTGCCAGTCTTCACAGCTGGCTAAAAGAAGAAGACTTGTGACGTCACGCTCGCGCCAAATTTACTCTTCTCGTGACACCCCGACACCCCACCCGTAGTGACGTCATAGTGGTGCGTAAGGGAGAAATAAAAGCGGGAAATGCGGAGGAAAAGCTGACGGAAGTTAAAGTTTAAATTACAACACTACGTTGGTGGTGGCTCGTGATGTTGAGTGTACTATTAAACTTGGGCTGATAGCCAGACCTGTGTTGTAGACCCCCCCCCCTCTCTCTCCCCAATTTACATCTGATTGTCTTGTCCATTCTGGTAAGTGGGTGTAAAATCTGACTTCCGAAATGCGTTTTTAAATGCATAGGTAATTTTAGAAAGACAACAACAAATGCTTTTGGCAGAAGATGCTCTCGTTATTAGCATATAATTTTCGTTTAGACAATAATTTGCTTAATATCCATAATTATAATTTTATTTGTTACATGCGACAAAACGTATGTTCTAATCCAAGCCAAGATGTTGCTTGAGGTGATGGTGGAGGTAAGGACGGTGTTCATGATGGGATTGAAGTTGTTGGCGACAATATTGGTGTTTGTAGTTGTAGCCGTAAAGAGGGAAGCATTGATGGTCGTGGTACCTGAGGGTTGCCAGCGGCCAGCCCTGAGCCACACATAGTCCACTGATTTAATTATTTACGGTATATTTATGGACCACCAACAAATGTACGTACAGGGGGGCTATTTAGTGTTAACCTTGCCTGTTAGTACTTGCTAAACTTTCTTTATACACTATTGGTCACCCACACACATGAATCTTAATGAGCACAACTTCACCTCAAGAGCAGCCACTATGACTACGTTTTGACACTTCTTGATCTTGATTTCTGTGTTTAGCTCAATTTAAGTGGGTTAACTTTGAGGTATGTGTGGGCAAAGGTGGACGTCCGTGGCCTACTAGATGCAATATTTTGATTAATGCATTTATTTCTTATTATTCAGTGGCCCGACAGTTAAGTCATGTGCTCACCTACACAGGCATCTTGATGGACGTCGCTGCGTAATATTCAACACAGGTGGTTGACTAATCTTACATACTGAATACCGCTGGAACCGTGTTTCTACCTGGCAATCTATCTGAACTGATGTTTATACATCTTCAGCTTACCTTTACAAAGTAAATGAAAAGTCATTGCAACAACTTTGTTACCTTGGCGTCGCAAAGTTGGTGTTATGATCTTAGCCGTTTTCCAGTACGATGGTGCGTGGTTAGTCTGTCATGGTTACTGATGTTAGTCACAATTAATTTATCAATCAGAGAACCGTCCTTATATCTGGGGGTTGGTGACCACAGTCCTCCACTCTGTAAACAACGAAATTGCTTTAGAAAAAATATAATTTGATAATTGATGCATATCTGCTTTATATATATATATATATATATATATATATATATATATATATATATATATATATATATATATATATATATATATAAATATATATATATATATATATATATATATATATATATATATATATCATATTTATATATATTAATATTATATATATATATATATATATATATATATATATATATATATATATATATATATATATATATATATATATATATATATATATATATATATATATATATATATATATATATATATTTGACTCATTTTAAAACTTAACCTCAAAATATTATAATGACTTGTTCTGCGAATATAATAAAACCGGCGTGTTCTCTCTATACATTA